TGATGGTTTTTACATTGATATTTATTTTATCAGAGATTAATATGGCTACTCCTGCTTTTTTCTGGTTGCCATTTGCTTGGTATATTAGTTTGTCATTATTGCGATTTATGTGTTGTTAAGATGTTACAAGTTGTTATACTGGTATATCAAATACAAGCAGAGTTAACCACGGTGGGGAGGTTTCCATAGAGCTTTCTAAAACAGATTAATGACAAAAAGTCTGACAACTTATTAAGTATTGATTAACCATGTATAAAAACAGTGGAGCCATAGTAGGGCAACATCACAAAGACAGAGTCTCAGTACTGGGCCAATTGGCAGCACCATGATAGATGGAGAGGAGACTGAGGTTGTTAACAACTTCAGCTTGCTTAGCCCCACAATCAAGACTCTTGGCTCCAGCAGTCAGGAAACCAAAGGAAAAATTGCTGTCAGGGACCTCTTCAGAGTACTGAGAAGCAACGATGTCAGTCTGCAGATTAAGGTGTGCCTGATACAGGCCATGGTCTTTGCAATTACTTGCTATGCGTCAGAGAGCTGGACAATGACTAAAGATGAAAGAAGAGAACTGAACATACCATGGACTGCCAAGAGAACAAACAGGTCTGTCTTGGAGAGGGTGAAACCAAGTTTCTCCTTGGAGGCTGGAATTTTGAAGCTCCATCTCATGTACTTAGGGCACATGGCTAGGAGGGAACCAGTCCATGGAGAAGGACATCATGCTTAGAAGGGTGGAAGGACAGTGCAAGAGAGGAAGACCCGCATGAGATGGATTGACACAGTGACTGGGATAATGGGGGTATGTGTGTTGGAATCAGTAAGACTGGTTCAGGATAGGGCAGGCTTCAGAGTTACTGTACACAGGGTCACTATGAGTTGCAGGTGCCTCAACTGCACGTAACATCAACAATAACAAGGTCACAAAGGGGAAGAATCCTCATCTATAGCACAAAGCTGATTTCTATGAAGTCAGATCTATTCCCATGCACCTTCCGTTATCAATTCTAACTCCAAACATCCCTTTCCATGGCTCTAGTTACTCTATTAGGTTTGCTAATTCATTACAATGGCCACATAGAACTCAAAGACAAAATTGATGATTCTTGGGTTTATTACTATAATTCAGGTTGGTAACACTGAAGATACAATTCCCCAGTCAGTGCAGCTTCATCTTTGGCATGCTCACCAGCAGGCCTCCCTCTGACTTTCAGACTTGTGGCTCCAGAGCCTGTATGGAGGATCTGGGTGAGTATTACAAACTCTTTTAGACCAGTTGGTTATGTGTGCACTCCCTAAGCCCCACTCTGCCTAGGTCAACGTGCTCAACTTTGATTCCATGGAGAGCCATATTTTGTTCAGCTGTTTCATGCCAGCCTCTGGTTCGCTGTTGCTCTTGTTGCCAGTACTGATCTCATTCTAGCTTGTGAAGGAATCTCTGGTCCAAAGGAAGCATTGCATTCTGCTTCTTCTTTCTTGATAGCAGTGAGATTCCTATTTTCTGTCTCTGAATCTGCCCTCTCGAGAAATCGCCAGCTTGATCAACCTCTCATTCATGGGTTACACATTTTATTTGCATGTTTCCACCCTAAAAGAACTATTTACATTCTTAGCTAGCTATCCAATCCCCATGATGGGGCCACAAATACTTCACATTTGTATAGCTTTATATAGCCATGTGGTCAAAGTCAAAACCAGTGGCTGGGTTAGAACAGTCAAAATGATTAATCCTCTAGAACACATTATGTTTTTCCTACCGGTCATTAGTAAATTAGGGAGTTCTGGTAGCTTTGTGGTAAGAAGGCGTGCTGTAATCCCAAAGGCACATGGTTCGAATCCACCAGGGGCTCTGAGGAAGAAAGATGGGGACTCTCCTCCTCTGTGATTTACTACCTCTGAAAACCCACTGGAGGGTCAGCTATGGGTTGGTTCTGACTCGATGGTACACAACAACAACAACAACAACATAAGTAAAGCTAAATAATAAACTACATGAAGTTACTCTCAGCACTCTACTTCTTTTAACAACTTCAAGAATAGGTTCAAGATAATAAAGTGTGGAATGCATTTTGAATCATCTTATAATTGCTCTTTAAATACATCTTGAATAAATTTTGAATCATCTTACCAGTGAGTAGCTCTATCCATGTTTGGACAGTCTCCGTAGGCTCAGTTGCTTTAATGTGTTTGAGCGTTTCATCCAGCAAGACGTCACCTGTTGGGCTATCTGACTTTAGCAGTACCTTCCAGGAAAGAAACAAAGGACCCTTGCTCATTCAACAAAGTTAAAACCTTTCAACTTAACAATATATACATTAATGGTTAAATGTTGCAAGAAATGCAAAGCAGCATAAAATACTGCTTCTGACCTCAATAAATTAAAACTCTGTTGTTAGGTGTAGACAAGTTGCCCATGACTCATAACAACCTTATGACCAACAGATCGAAACTCTGACCACCCAGTGCCATTATCATGATCTCCATCATGCTCAAACATGGTGATGTTACAGTCACCATCAATTTATTTCATTGCGTTCTTCCTCTTTTTCCCTGACTGTCTACCTTCCCAGCATGATGTCTATTTCCAAGAAGTGACAATGAGTCCAAAGTATGTGAGTTTCACTGTCCTTGCCTTGAAGCGGCATCCTAATTGCACTTCTTTCAGTACAGCTTTATTTGTTCTTTTGTTAGTCCATGGGACATTCAATATCTTTTGCCAACACAATTCAAAGGCATCAATTATTTGGTTTTCCTTATTCACTGTCCAACTTTCACATACATATGAAACAGTGAAAAATGCCAAGGCTTGAGGCAGGCACACCTTAGTCTTTAAAGTGACATCCTTGCTCTCTAGCACTTTAAAGAGGTCCTTGACAGTGGATTTCTCCAAAGCAACAAGTGTTTTAATTTCTTAACTGCTGCTTCCATGGGTGTTGATTGTGGAGCCATGAAAAGTAAAATCATTGTTAATTTCAATCTTTTCTCCATTTATCATGATGTCCAATTGGAAGGATTTTTGTTTTCTTGATGTTGAGGTATAATTCATAAAGGTCTTTGATTTCTTCAGTAAGTGCTTCAAGTTCTCTTCGCTTTCCACAAGCAGGGATATGTCATTCACATAATACAGCTTGTTGACGAATCTTCTTCCAAACCTGATGCCACATTCTTCTTCATATAGTGCAGTTTCTCCTATTCTCAGTAGAGAGACAGCATCGGTATGGAGAAAGGGTATAGTCTTTACAGATGCCTTTCCTGATTTACCTCCTTTTATGTAATATTCAGGGAGTTCTAGTGGCTTACGTAGTAAGAAACTGTGTTGCCAATCCAAAAGCACAAAGATCAAATCCACCAAATACTTGCTGGAAGAAAGACTGGCAATCTCCTCTCGTGTGATTTAATACCTCTGACAGCCCTTCAGAGGGCCAGCTATGAGTCTGTTCTGACTTGACAGTTCATAACAACATGAAATATTCTTTAAGGGAATTCTTGTGTGTTATAGTCTGTAGTGAATTGTACGGCTAACCCAAAGTTTGTGTGTCTCCACCAGTTCCAATCCATTAGCAAGTCCTCCAGGGAAAGAATGAGAGTCTCTTCCTGTTAGGATCTACAGACTCGGAAACCTGACAGGGTCATTTTAAGTTGGAATTGACTTGACAGCAGTGAGCTTGAGTTTTTTTTTTAAAGCATTTATTTATTTTATTTAAGTGTACCGTTGAATCAGATCCAACTGGCGCAAGAGGAGGGTGTCCCTCCTTCTCCAGTAGAGCATCTGGTGGATTCAAACCACGTGCCTTTGTGATTCCAGTGCAGTTTCTTGCCACTAGGCCACCAAAGCTCCGAGTTGGTTTTATTTTTTAAAGTAGCATTCTGGCAATCCACGGAAAAAGTAAAACTCAGATAAAAAGACTTTTTATGTACTTTTTATGTAGTTTGGGCATGTTATCAGGAAAAGCCAGTTTTTAGAAAAGGACATCTTGGAAAAGTAGAGGATCACTCTATCAGGAACAACATAGTGACTGCAGCAATGGGCTAAGCAGAGAGAAACTGCCAGGATGGCACAGAGACGGGTAAAGTTTTGACCTGTTGTTTATAGGGACTATGAGTCAGTTAACTCAACAGCATGTAACAATACCCATATAATATTCTACTTTACAATCCTATAGCTACAAATAAAGGAGGATTTAAAAGCATCTTAAATAGGACTTTTCTACATGAAAAAAGGAAGACAAAAGCCAAGAACCTTTTAAAGCTCTTTAACAATTTTTATTTCTTCCCTTGCTATAGGATAATTATACTAGTCTTTACAATGAGACAAAGAATTTGGTGGTATAGTGGTTAAAGTACTGGGTTGCTAACAAAAAGGTTGATGGTTTGACTCTGACTGCTGTTCTGTAGGAGAAAGCTATGGCAGTCTACTTCTATGAAGATTTACAGCTTTAGAAAACATACGAGGTTGCTATGACTTATAACTGACTTGACAGCAATGAATTTAGACAATGTGGCAGCAGAAACAGTGATGCTTATTCTGACTGTCCCACTGCTTATATACTCCTGTTCTTCCAAATAACAACACAGGGCTGTTGGTATCTGCCTTTCCACAGGTTAAGAGGATGTCACATCCTCCTAAGAGGATGCTTTACCTTTCTGTCCAGTAGTCTCTTCTTACGCATGGTGGGGGGTTCCAAATAGATTCGACCCCGCATGGCCAGCTCTATCAGGATGCACCCTCGCAGGCCAGATGATATGCAATCATTCCAAAAAGATGTGTAACCCTAGAAAAAGGGAAAAGAGAAAGCATGTTCAGAAAGGTAGACAAAATTTTATTTTTCAAAAAGTATTTTGGTTTCTATTTACATAAAACCTTCACTTTAAGTGTGGTATGGACAAGTCAGGCAGTCCAAAATATAATTTAAACCTTACACTCCTTTTAGAGAGGTACTATTTGCCAGCTTGGTGATATAGCGGAAATCCATCTCTGCCACTGAGTACATGAGTGCCTTGAGTATGTTACTTAACCTTTCTAAAGCTTGGTTTCCTCATGTGAAAAATGGGGACACTAGTATTCACTTTCACAAGTTTGCTGTAAGGATTAGATAAGAACATACACGTGTGTAGGTGTTATGAATACATATACACACTCGTGCTTGAAAGTTACTGACACTGAGTAGATTCTGACTTAGAGAGACTGTACAGGTCAGAGAACTGCCCATGAGGTTTCTGAGGCTGTAAATCTTAATGGAAGCCACAGGTGAATCTGACTGAGCAGAAATGTGTGGCCTTTTGGCTAGCAGTCCAACATGATAACAGACATTGCCACCAAAGGCTATATTCTTATTCTCTTTCACTTTCTCTCTCTCTCACACACACATACACAATTTTAGCATACATGACTAATTCATTAGTTTTTCCAGAAGGTTAGCATTGCAATTTTTAGTGTACAGACTAATTCACTAACTTCCCTAGAACCTAATTTACCTGGGAAAAACCAGTATTTTAAGATCACTGTGGAAGTACATGTGTTAAAATATGAATGAAACAGAGACTAATAGAGTGGCCCCTGCACAAGGATAACACACACTTTGTGAAGCATTACATGTTTTCAACATTTATCTGCCCAAGAATAAAACACTAAAGGCAGGAAGGGGTAGAAGAATTATTAATGGAAATGAGAATTACAAGGAGGAAATGGGAAAAGGTCTATTACATTGTGGAAACTGTTATTAGTGTTATAAAATGTAAATGAATGGTTGAATGAAAAACCAACGTATAAACTTTCACTTAAATCCTGCATGTCACATAATAAACTGGGGGGAAAAGTCAATATTTTAACAACTCTTATTAATGTAACAAGATTTTATTATTACTTTTAAAAGTTCTCATGAATTATATGCCATCATCATGATTATCAAGGAGCTCTGGTGGCCTGGTCTGTCAGGAGGTGTGCTGCTGCTTCTTCTTTTTAAAATTTATTATTAATTTCAATGAAAATTTACAGAGACTTTGGATTTCCATTCATTCATTGTTGCACTTTTCTCCTCTCCCAACCCTCCCCCCCCCAGTACACTACCCTCTTGGAAAAGTAAAAGAAAAATTCTTTCATTGTTTTACAAACCCTCCTCCAGGTCCACTCCCCCATACAGCCTTTGCTCTGGACTCCTGTCATGACAAAAATACCTAATCACATATCCCTTTTAAACAGTTTTCTCCCTCATCTGTTTCAATGCAGTATACATTATTGAACCCATCTTTCTCAGTCTCCCCCCAACCCCAAAGCCAGTCCTGTTTTACAACAGTGGCACCATGCAGTATTTGTCCTTTTATGACTGAGATACTTCACTCAACATAATGTCCTCCAGGGTCACCCATTTTGAATAATATTGCATGAGTTCCTTGTTTTTCAAGGCAGCACAGTATTCCATTGTGTGAATATACCACAGCTTCTCTATCCATTTGTTTGTTGATGGGCAATTAGGTTGTTTCCAACTCCTTGCTATTGTGAACAAAGCCACGATAAACATGGGTATGACTATATCTGCTTGGATGTCAGTTATAATCTCTTTGGGGTATATTCTCAGTAGTGGAATTGCTAGGTCGAATGGTATCTCTATTTGCAACTTTTTGAGAAAAGCGCCATACTGCCTTCCACAGTGGTTGCACCAAGGAGGTATGCTTAATCCTAAGGACCATGTCTCTCTGGCTGTTTCAATCTTGTACCAGCTCTTCAGAAGAAAGGTGGATGTTCTAATCTCAGGTGATTTACAGCCTCAGAAACCCACTGGTGGGTCATCTGGGAGATGGTTTCTCCTCTTGTGGATTCCACTGTTGCAATGAGAAATCTATTATTACGGTCTTTTTTTTTTAAAGATGGTCTTTTCCCCCGTCCTTGAAAAATCTGTGCTTTGTAAACTACAACACATCTCTATAGGCATTTTTTATTGTGGTGGGAACAAAGATTTTCTTTTTTTTTTCATTGGCATTAGGTGTTGCTCAGTTACTCTGACTCACAGCAAGTCTATGTACAACAGATCAAAAATAGGCCCAGTCAAGCGCCATCCACTGCTGCAGTCATTGTGTCTATTCATTTTGTTGAGGGTCTTTTCCAAAATATTGTCCTTTTTTTAACTTTTTATTTTTTTAAAAATATTGTCCTTTTTCAAAGATTGCCCCTCCTGGTAACACGACCAAAACATGTGAGATGAGGTCTCACCAAAGAGCACCATGGCTGCATTTCTTCCAAGACTGTAATCCATCATATATTCAATATTCCTCACAAACTGCATAATTCAAAAGCATCACTTAAATATTCTGTATTAACTGCCAAACTTTCACATGCATATCAAAACTCATGGCTGACCCTCCACTGGGTTTTCAAGACTGTAGACTGGACAGGAAGAGTGCCTATCTCTCTCCCAAGGAGCCATGGTAGACTCCACCACAGAAGTGCCTTGGGTTAGTAGCAAGCATGTGAAGGACGGCTTAGTGAGGAATACCTTAATTTTTAAACTGACATCCTTACCCTTAAACATATAGAGGTTCCTGACAGCTGATTTGCCTGGTGCAATATGCGTTTTGACTAAGGATGCTGATCGTGGACTCAAGTAAAAATAAACTATCATGACTGTGCCTGTTTGTTCAGTTGTGAAGACTTTGGTTTTCTTGATGTGGAGGTGTTTCTTAGTTATCTAATAGTGCTATAACAGAAATACTATAAGCAGATGGCTTTTACAAATAGAAATTTATTCTGTTACAGTTCCTTGTTGGAATGTGCTGCTAAGTCAGAACCGACTTATAGCTTTGGACTGGCAGTGCAATTCCTTCCCACTAAGCCAATTTTGCCCACTGGGAGATAGACGCGAGCAAGGATTGAAAACTGTTACTGCTTGGATTCATAATCAACACCCTTGGTACCAGCAGCCAAGAGATAAGGAGACATAATGCTTTGGGCAAATCTGACGTCAGGGACCTTTCAAACACACTGAAGAGCAATATGTCAGTTTGAAGACTAAGGTGAGCCCGATTCAGGTCATGGTCTTTTCCGTTATTTGCTATGCATCTGAGAGCTGGAAAATGTATAAGGATGGAAGAATTGATGCCTTTGAGTTGTGGTGTTGGAGAACAGTATGGAATATCCCATGGACTGTCTTGGAAAAGGTGCAACTGGAATGCTCCTTGGAGACAAGGATGGCTAAGCTTTGACTCTCATACTTTTGACATGTTGTTAGGAGATGGTATTAACCTGAAAAAGGTTATCATGCTTGGAAGGATGAGGGTCAGTGAAAGAAAGGAAGACCTCGATTGAGATGGATACGGTGACTGCAACAATGGATTCAGGTGTATCAGAAATGGTAAGAATGGCACAGCATAGGCCAGGATTCAGATCTGTTGTTCACAGGATTGCTATGAGTTGTACTTGACTACTGCACCTAACAGCAGCAACAGCAGTACAAGCAGCAGCTAGTTTTAGAGTGCTAGTGGCCTAATGATAAGAAGCTGCACTGTAATCCCAAAGGCATTCAGTTCAAATCCACCAGCTGCTTTGCGGAGGTTAGATGGCCAATCTCTCCTATGTAATTTACTGCCTCTGAAAACCCACTAGAGGGTCATCTATGGGTTAGTTCCAAGTCATAGGCACAAAACAAGCAGTAGCAGCAGCCAGTTTTAGGAGGCTGGCAGTCCAAAGTCAGGATGTCAGTTTGTTTTGTTTTTACTGTCAGACTCGGGTTTTTAAAAAAATTATTAATCTTTTTTAAATTGTATTATTATTATTATTATTTTTTTTTTTAACGTGTACTGTCAAATCAGATCAGACTGGTACAGGAGGAGATTGTCCCTCCTTCTCCAGCAGAGCATCTGGTGGATTTGAACCGCGTACCTCTGGAATTGCAGTGCAGCATCTTGCCACTAGGCCATCAGAGCTCCCTTTAATTATTAATCTTAATGAAAGTTTACAGAGACATTGGATTTCCATCATTTATTCATTGTTGCATTTTTCTCCCTAACCACTCCCCCAGCCCCAGTTCACTCTTCTCTTTGAAAAGTAAAACTCTTTCATTGTTATACAATCCCTTCCCCCAAGTCCACTCCACTATGCATCCTTCGTTCTGGACTCCTTTCATGACAATAATACCTAATCATATATCCTTTTTAAACAGTTCTCTCTCCCTCATCTGTAGGATGTCAGTTTTAAGGGAAAGTCCTCCTTTCCTTCAGCATCCGCAGGTCCCTTTGCTCCCAGGAGACTTTCATGTGTCAAAGAGCTTCATCTCACAGGGTCCCAGAGTCCAAAAAGACACTCTCCTCAGGATGTCTGCCCTCTTAACTTGCTTTCCTCTCCCTTTTGTTATTTCTACGGAGATAAGAGGTACTACTGGTCATACCAGAGGGGACCTCCCCTTACACCTGATTAGAGCTTGATTGGATTAAGGAGTGTTGTATTCCACCCTTAACCTTAAGCAAGGTTGTATCATGTTATTGAAGAGATTAATCCAGATACCACATTCTTCTTCATATTGCCCAGTTTTTCAGATTATTTGCTAAACATACATACTGGATATGTATGGTTTATGGACACACAGCTTTTTTTATTTTAAATCATGCAGTTAACTTCTTGGTCTGTTGGAACAACTGGTTTTTGGTTCCTGCACTGGTTCTGTATGAACACAATTAAGTATCTGAAATTTCCATTCTCAATGTTATCCATAATTTATGATGAATTCACAGAGTTGTATGATTTGTCTTGTCAATAAAACACAAGTAAATCTTTCCGGAATTC